TAGGCAAATATCAAAAAGTATTATAATATGTACACATGTGTAGTAAAAATACATATGAATATACCATCTATCCTAGTAGCAACAATGGTTTGTCTCCTGATCTTGATGCAGAAACACTGCATTACCCCAGTAATGCATATAAAGCCATATATGTTCACTATTCCCATCCATAGTACACTGGCGACTGTTGATCATGACATCATTAAGCCAATATGACTAATATACAGATACCTCAGGAATCTTGTAGGATTGCCTGTGACTCCCTGGCAATTCCTTCAATCATTGCCTTATACACTCTCTGCATATCTAGGCTTAACCAAGGCTTTTCCCGACTATTGTGGGAGTCGTCTTCAGTTGACTTGACTGAACCAGAAACTTGTGGATACATATAAGGGCTGATACAAACTTCTTATTCTGTTTCCAAGAATGGAGCATAATTAAAGTACTTCTCACTTTGAACCTGGAAAGTTTATGCTGATGCCACACAATGCTGTCTGTGAGGCTTAGTCAAAAGTGTTTGTAATGTAAGTGTCTGACACCTAAATGAAACTGTTTTAAACAAACGTGAAATAAATGAGCTCAAATGATCCTACCTGCCGAGTTATGTGACTCTTCTCTCTTACTTTTGCATTAATTTATTTTTGACTCAATCACAAAGTCTTCTCACATGCAATAGGCTCACCGATTCTTCTGAAAAAATCTCATTATGAGAGAATGAATGAATACACCTGAAAAAGGTATGTCAAAGAATTCTTATATGAGAACTGATATGAAAAACAAAGAGAAAGTCTAAAAAGAGACAAAATGTCAAGGAAACAAACTGCCATCTCATATAATGATTGAGAATTACTATTGTTTGTGTTGATCAGAAGACATGTCCCCATTGAAATCAAATCTTCTGCACCAACATGGCATTGTCCATACATCTTCCAACGAGTCAGTAGTGATTACTCTCTATTGTAATGATCCTCCAAACAACCTTCAGTAAGCAACCTATGGGATCATGAGAAAAATATACAAGATCTTTCAAAATGTCCCACTTTTCACAGAAACTTCAAAATGGCAACATGTGCTTCATGGCTCAAAGCAGCCAACTCTGTGGGCAGCCTCCAGTTATGGATTCTCACTGGGACTCTGTTATCCTTGTAGAGTAGCAATACACAGGGAAAGGAGTATAAACTGAGTCTGTAGTTAGAAGTCCAGTATTGACTTCATACTAGGAGTCCACTAGACTTCACTGGTCCGTAAACACTCATCTTTAAAACAGGGAGGATTGTGTACAAGGTCCACGGAATCTCCTCAGCCTAAGGTGCAGCTCCACTTAATTTCCCTCATCCATTTTAATCTCGTAGTCTTCTGGTCAGAAACATATTCACATTATTTTACTTTCCCTGTTTTTCTGCTTCCCATCATCATCATCATTTCTGATACACTTCACTTCTCAGCTCATACAAGGCTTCCATCCTCAAGTGAGACTCATGACTCTCTCTTCTGTAGGGACATGTAACCTGTTTTACTTCATCTTGGTTAACTGCTTATTTTGTTAGATGTCTCTTTAACAATGAGAATCATATTGCCGTAAAGTTTGTGAAGCCTTTGTACAAGAAACACGAACCTTTCTAGTTTAACAAATATACATTGTTAACTATCGGGTAAAATATTTGCTTGATATTGAACATCACTACTTCTTACATAAGATGGGAATATTAAATTTTCATTCATTATTGAGTCAGGGCAGCTTTGTGTGACTTTATAGAATTCTTGATGCCTTGAGTCTTAATGTACCAGGTAGCATTCTCAAAGCATATAATATATGCAGTATATTTGTATTAGCTTATCTCCATGGATTGCTAAGGCCTTTTTTTATCTGTCCTGATAAGAGGGTTTTACAAAAACCCAATACAGTAGCTACTTATGTTGACAAATATTTGGTGGCTTTGTAAGGGATCTTTGAATAGGTTAATTTTCTTACTCAGAGACAAAAGAGTTTAGGCTCCAGTCCTGTGACCAAATCCCATGCATTCATCACAGCCTATATTTCCCCATAGCTATTCCATTGTAGAGGTCTAATTTATGTCAATTACAGGAACACTTTGGTTTTCCTGCTTTGAATCGGAGTGTGGCTGAAGGTTGGACAATATCTGTTGTCAGATGGTCTCTCCACAGTTTCTCCTTTCAAAATTTCTCCTCTGGGATTAGATGTGAACCCACCAGTAAATGACCCACACTCATTAGAAATACTGTAAGAAAAGGTTACTGCCATATATCACATGCCAAAAATCACATAAATGATCACTGGTAAAAAAAATTGAGGTGATTACTAAGGGAAACTGTTGAGTTATGTTGACACTTTGCACACTGGTTTGTGACATAAAACAAGTGCAAGAGAGATCACATCCACACCAAATTGAGAGGGCAGGAGAGTTTAAAAGAAACAAATCGTCAAGGTTGTGACCCTTCTTACCTACTGCTGGTCAGTAGTATGAGTGCCCATGAAGAATGAAGGGAACAGCTCTTCCATAGCACAAGGGAGCCAGCGGCATGGTCTGAGATTTCAGCTCAGAGGAGGTTATCTTCTAATCTTTAGAGTCAATCTTTGAACAGGAGTGATACTTGGACAAGATCTAGTGCACTGCTCTGTAGGAGAAACAGCTGTGCACTATGAAGTGTTCCTTTATTAATCCACCAACACGTCATTGTCTGTGACCCACCAACTCCATCCACAAGTCTACTTTCTAGCTGCTTAATGGATATGCACATCTGATACCAAATATCAGAATTTTCATGATACTGGAACCTCACTGGGAAGATACAACTTTCTCAGTTGTGGCATTGGGTAAGAAGGATAACACTGTGTGTATCACAGCATATGAGAGGAATTTTGCTAATACCACTAAATCACTAAAAACAAATGAGAAAACAGAAATATTCATTTATTTAATTAAAGAAAAATGGGATAGAAAAGGAAAATCATTAAGAACATTAATAACTAGTTACATAGAGATACATTCCAGAATTTATGAACAACAGATGAAAGTTACTCAGGAAAAATGTGGGCCTGGAAAGAAGTCTCAGTTGTGAAGAGAATTCCATGATGTCCATAGGACTCAGGTTCAGTTCCAGTACTCACGTGAGAGCTCTTACATGTCTGTAATTCCAGTTCTAGTGGATTTGACTGTATATACTGGTGTATACTGGGAACAGAACCAGATGTACGCAGGCATAATCTGTATACTTATGAAAAAATTAAATAATTATTTTTTTAACAAGTAAAATGAATTTGCCAACCACTCCATTCATGGAGCAATTGACCTAATACATGTGCACACACAATTTATGAATGTACACATTGCCTTCAATTCATAAGAATAATATAACCCAGTGTGATACGGAGATATCTATTTTTGACTACGAGATTGAGAGTAAGAAATATTATACAAGCATCACAGAACATGTATAAAAATGAACAAAGACCATAAAACTCAGAGTGTAAATTCACAAAGTCAAGATCAGTTATGGGCTAAGACTCAAGAAACCCTGAAATAGGATACTGGCCACATTGACTTCACAGAGGGAAGATTCTGGTCTCTACCTTCTCTCTCTTGCCGAAATGAGATGTCTTTCTTCAAGTGAGATAGCTTCTGCTGCCAGGATTGGGAAGAAAAGAAGAAGGGAGAAAAAATCACAAGTAAATGAAAACTATGCTGAAAAAAAACTTGATAGTGGTAATTTAAAACGGCATTCTTCTTAAAGGTTATATTTTAATGGTTCAAGGTACTCTTGTATTTCGGTGACCAGTACTGCTCTGAAGGATGGCAGGAAGGATGGGAAATGAATATCAATATTACATATAATTCAAAAGAGCATGGTGGTTGTTTGTGTATGCAGTTTTACAAAGTGCTACTGTGACAACATCTGGAGTCCACCAAAATAGTGAGTATGCATCTGAAACATAAGATGTGTTTTTAAGACTAAAAGGCTATTGAAGAGGTCATGTCCCATGAGGCAGTTATGGTAAATGTATCCATGTATGCATGTGAATTAGTATACTTATTGCTTTGCTAGTAATTGCACACAGTTCTAAACAATAACATTTTTACAATGGAACAATAATTAGCAACATGTAAGATTAGCGAGGTGTTTTCACACTAGGACACCATATGGTAACTGAAATTATCAGGAAGTCAATATCTTTTAGCATACATGATGAGGAAATGTGGATAAGAGCATGTACAGGATGATGTTCATAGATGAAAGGCAATAACTCTAGGAGTAGACACACTCTATAATGTTTGATTGTTGTTTATTGGAAGTAATTTAATATTTTATGAAAGTTAAAAAACGCAGGCTGAGAATGACCAACAGCACAATATTTGAAGGCTCCCAAAGTGTGAAGCAGCAGCTGGAATGCACTCATGAGATATGCTCAGGACACACTGGCTTCTGCACAAAAACCTGCTATAGCTTCTCTCAGAAAAATTTGGTCCCTCACCTCCTACTGAGCTAGATTCACCAGGCCATGTTATTTTCTCCATACAGGACCCTAAGAAGGGAGGCACAAAGTTTTCCTTCATGAGGACGAAAATATTCCGATTACTCAAAGAACTGAATGCCCAATCTAAAGGTCATCTGGCCGGATCCAGGGGCAACACTCTTTGAGAACAGCTGTCTCCCACTTCAGAAAACAAAAACACTTGTTTCATGGGCTCACGAAGTTGGAAAACACCCGACTCTTTTTTCCCCTGAGAACAGAATGGTAAATACTCAAGCAGATGCGAAGCAGCACAAGATAACTAGGCCCCTTAATCATCATCAGCTGGAAGGCAGGGCTGTCAGTGAGCACACAGCCAACATCAAGGCCGCAGCTGTGAGAACTGAGGAACATCAAAGGGATCTAGAGGGCAACAGTCTCTCCAGTTCCCATCAGTGCATGCATGCTCTCTCTCCCTACAGAGCTTGGGTCTGCACCTCCTCATGACAGTCCTATAAATGCAGGCTGTCCCCTCAATCCCCACAAACTAGGCTCCTATTCATCTTCCTCCAGGTGACTCTCAGCCATGAAGACACTTGTTCTCTTCTCTGTCTTTGCCCTGCTGGCCATTCAGACCCTTGCTGATCCTCTGCCCGAAACAAATGAAGAGGCTAATGATGAGAAGCAGCCAGGAATACCGGACCAGGATTTGCTGGCCTTCAATGGAGTCCCAGGACGTTCTGTTCTCCCACCATCAGGTGAGTGGTGACGCCCAGTACGGTAGTAGGTTGGAGTCTCCTGAGACAGGGGTGATGAGGTGTCCTGGAATCCTATGGGGAGCTTGTGATTTAGGAAAGTATGTCACTTGATCCTCTAGGAGCTTCAGTGTATTATTCATAGAAGTAACTGCGAGGGTCAAAAAAGTATAAATGATTGCCGTTCTTTTAAGTTTTCTGTGGACTAGTTTCAAAATATAGAACATGTTGATACCTGTCAGGAATGTCCTGTGATCAACACTTCTTAAAAGTTGTATTGCCCAATGTTTGCAGTTGAATGTGCTTGGTGTGATGTCACCGATACAAGTATGACGCTTCTGTACTATGTGTCATTTATTCATCTTCATATTAGTGTTTCTATTGCATGCTGCTGGCTGCCTAATTTTAAACCTGGTGTTTTCTGTTTCCTCAGCAAAAAAAGATTTGTGCCTGGAGTACTGTAGAAATTTACCACTTTCAAAAAGAGAATGGTGCTTGAAGGCCTGCATTAAGTTCTGAAAATTTTACCGGCGTGTTACCAGGATCTGTATAAAATCGTTCTGCCTCTGAGTTCAGAGACAAGCACACCATGTTCTCTGAGACCTCTTCGTCAGTCATTAACCTTGTACTTACCCTCAGTTGTTTTCCCTTCTCCAATAAATTTCCCAGCAGAAAACAATCTGTTTTCATGTTTCTTTGGTGATTTGTATGTGCCTTAGTATTATTCAAAGCTATGCTACAGACTCTTCAATGAATCCCTATACACGATGACTTAGTTACAATTTAGTAGTCATTTCAATGTTGAAAAGGATCAAAATACCAAGTAACATCTCAGAGATTCTGATCAAGCTACTTCTATTGTCTGTCCTTTTGATAGGACTAACCTTGAAACATGTCTCACATTACCACGATCCGTTCTTCAATTGAAGGACATTTATGTTGTTTCCATTTTCTAGCTAGTGTGAATAACTCAGCAATGATCATGACTGAGGAACAGTGTCTGTGTAGTAGGATGCAGGTCCTTTGGGCATTTGCCATAGAATGGACTGCTGTGCCACATGAAGATTTCCTTATGGTCTTTTGAGAACACTCCACACTGATTTCCATAGTTCCTGCACCAGTTTGCTATCCAACCAACAGTGTTCTGTTGAAGTGATACTGGCTGCAATTTTGCCAACCAAACAAGGCCATGTATATCGTACATGCTCATAGGACTGTATTTTATCCCATCCTGCCAACACCCAAAATAACTCTCTATTCTCTCTGTGATGTACAGCCTCAAGAATGACCTTGACATACTACTGTTACTACTGTACAAGATGATCCTGCAAAATACTAGAACCTGTCAGTGACTTCTGCACCAAGCATCAGTAAAGCTACTTATTCTGCTGCGACTGAACACGGAGACCAGGAACAACATGATAAAATTGTAATGAGGCAAAAGAGTGGTCTCTGATCACCACTGCAATGGTTCTTCTCCTTTACCTCCAATACATGGCTTCCATTATGTTTGCATTCTTATATAATTTGCTATGAGGCTCTGGCCAAATTCTGGACATCAAGGATCAGTACCTATAAGGACACTTTTGTAAATGATCAAATAGTTTAGGTTTTACTTAAAAAATAGTAGCTCCAATACTAACAATTTTAAAGCTGATCCCAGAGTGTAGACACAAAGTATAAAAAAGAACAGGGTGCTGATGATCCAGCTACATTTCTCTCTTACCTCTTGTCTCTGCCTCCATGGAGATTCAATTGTTTCTCAAAGACATTTCCTACTTGTCAAGAAAAACTACCACTTTAGGCTTCAGGTTAATACAGTCCTAATATCCTACCTTTTCTGAGAACCACTGTCTCCTTAGCAAGTGTTGAAGTTTTAATGAGCAGGCAGAAAGACTGTGGTGTCTTCAATCTAAGCCCATGGATTTTTCTTGTTCCATAGAGGGAACCGCTAGTAGAAAAAGTTAGTATAGATACAGAATTGAAAGGAAGAAAGCCATGGCATTCCATTTCATGATGTTTACAATATCTGTGGCACCTACACTTGCACAGGAAAAGATGTATTTTCAACACAGAAATCCTGTTCACACACAGTGAGTGTACAAGTACCTAATGGTTCAAGTGTCTGTTGCAATACACACTAAAGTGAGATACCTTCAACTTTTCATGGGCTAATGCATCCTGGAAGTGATTCAAGACAAAAAAAGGCATCCGAAGTCAGGTCTCCTTTCAGCCTGGAGGCTCCAGTGTTTCTACAGGATGCTAAGGCTCAGATTCTAGAACGTTGCACATGTCTCAAACCAGTTATTTATGATACCTGATAGAAAGACAGAAGTAGTGAATTCTTAGACTGCAGACTCCAGTAGCACACATAATGTGGGTTCACAGCAGACATTCTGGAGAGCATTCCATATGGAAGAAGGCATGTTGGGAGAATACAGCACTGCATTGCTCTATGAGTTAAAAAGGATGCTAGAAGCATGGCATACGGCAGTTGTTCTAACAATCTGTGTTGGGCTGAGACAGACATCAACTGTACCATGTAAAATAATAAGGAAATTGTAACTCTAGCCAGCACAATTTTTTAGTCTCAAAAATCACAGAATACTGATTAGTGCATTGCAAACGTACTATGCAATTACCAAAGACCCACAAGACATTTCATCTTAAATAATTAATTCATGCCCTGGCAAAATAAATTTAACGGTTTATCCAAACACGTGGTCATCTTTTTGAAATGGACTTATCTAAGGAAGTAGGTCATCCGTGTTCAGGTAGAGTTAGCATGATGCCACTCAGTGTCAATCAGAACACAAATGGCATAATCGGTTTGAGCTACCTCCCCACTATTCTATCCATGGCTTCTGTTCCAGCTCACAGAGCTTTAAGCCTCTCTTGATTTTGTTCCGTACCCTCTCCCTATTGCATTTTCTTGACCCGGGATAATATAGTCTCATGTATTCTTTCTAGCCACTTTTGAAGTTTGTGGTGAAATATTCCTTTAAAATGGAAGAGTTGTTTGTTTTTAAACTAGCCTACGATAATGGTAAAAAGTTGGTATGCACAATGGTAGCGTTGATGCTTGCATATATACGCTGTGAAATTATTACATTGTGGAATCAGAATGTATGTCTCCTCTGACATTTATCACTTCTTTGTGGTAAAATACATACTTAAATTCTACTGTCTTAGGTATTTTAAATACCTAATCAGGTATTGTTTCCAATCACGTTATTGTGTAATAGTAGACTGGAACTCATGGCTTCTGCCTAATTTTCATTCTGTATTCACTGACCAACAATACCTCAGCATCGTCAGACCTTGCCAGTCTCCAGTAACATGTATTCTATTCCAACTTTTCATTGTCTTGATTTTTGTCTAGTGCATGTGAGAACGTGTTGTCCTCCCTTTGTGCATCTGGCCTTTACACGTTATGTATCCTCTTGGATCATCTCCAGTATTGAAATATTCCACATTTTTATGGTTGACGAGTTTTCCATGTGCACATATGCAAACACAACATGTGTATACCACATACTCTTTATCAATTCATCAACTCTGGTACATGAAACTCAATGACATCTCTTAACAATAATATACAGTATTATACATTTATGTACACTCCAAATTATTTTCATTTATATTTCAAAATTTGTTTTCCTGAACTTATTCTACATCCAGAAAGAGAATGTAAGGCTTTGAGAAAATATGTTGTTCTTATCATCAGGAACGTTCCTTTGCCACACAAAGATCCACAGATCTCTCCAGAAATTTACAGGTTAGAGGAAAACGTTCCCCATTCTAATTTGATCCAGAGGTTCACCAGGACATTCCTAGTATTTGACATCCTTGGTTACAATTACTGCCTCATTGTCTTCAACTCTACAGCCAATGACCACATGCACACATATTTGACATTGCCTGTATTCACCCTCTTTGTATATCCACCTAAAACTCCCAGTTTAGAACATATCCCTCTGTCTTCAAGACTCATTATGTGGTGGGCTCTGGTTGTTTGATAATTAGCCTCAAGAAAGTAGGGCCCTAGAATCAGCTGAAAATCAGATGTGCATACTATAATTAGAACAGCTGTCACCAGCTGTATCGTGGAAAGGCACTGCAGTAGGATTGAGGTTTATTCACATGTGTCCCAATTGGAGTCTTGGATTCAAGTTTCAGGAACCACCTCAGGCTGAAGCAGAATTTCTACTCAAATTCTTGAGAAATGTAAGTTGGAATCCTGACAAGAGAAACTGGTTGCTTAAAGGAATAAAAGTGTTGTCCTGGCCTTTCTCTCTTCTTCTTTTTCTGATACCTCTGGTATGATGGCAGGGTAAATGATGGGCAAATCAGTGGAAATTTAGGAGCTTTACTTCCTAGTTTAAAGCAAACAAACATATATTTTCTGGTTCCCCTCATGTTGTAGCCATCACTAAGTCCACACACCTCCCATTAATTTCTCCGCAAGAGAAGAGGCCTGAACCACACTTGGGTGATATACTTACCCATTTTCCAATTGTAGAAATTTAGATAAAACATGATTAAAAATCTGTTCTTTGAAGCATCCTGAAGAGTTTAGAACTTGTGCCACTTAATTTTTATTTGTTATGTGTAATGCTTGGGATTAAGTGAAAAGCTAAAGTCCCACATAAACATACACTGAAAATGCATAACTTTGATGTATAGAATATTCTATATAGGTCACAGGACCTCTCACTATGGACATGCACATACTCTGCTTTTCTACTACTGAGGAAGAGACCATTACAGTAAGAAAAGTATTCCATACAGCACACCAAGTATTCTAACTCAACTGTACCATATGCATAATGTTTCAACCTGTTTGGTAGAAGGATAAGTGGTTTGGCATTTGGACAGTTCATTGCAAAAGAAGTCTGTAGTGTAATAAATAAGTGGTACTGGTTATAAGACAACACTCAGTGTGATTGTGGACAAGATGTGCAGACTGCAGCTATCCACCATGGCTGTGGATTGGGGAATCATCAAACAGTTGCCACTGCTTGAAGCTGAGTGGGTTTTTATGATGGGTACTTGCAAACACTATAACCTAAATCATTATTGGATGAGTAAGCTGCCCAGTCTTAATCCCTTTGGTCACCAGTCCCCCCTCTCTGTTACTGGCTTTCTTGATTTGAGCTCAGTGTTTAACCATGGGAGTCTGCCTCTTCTTCCATCAGATACTGAATGAAGTTTCTGTTTCCCAGACTCTCTGTCCATGGGATTGTAGGCTGGCATTCCCCAGATCTATGTCTAAAATCCATACATGAGAGAATACATGCCATGTTTCTCTTTTTGTTACTGCGTTACCTCACTCAGGATTTTAGAGGAGTTGCATTTAGTTTCTGTCCATTTAGTTTGATGTTGGCTGTTGGTTTACTGTATATAGCTTTTATTATGTTTGAGTAAGTTCCTGTTATCCCAGATCACTCCAACTCGTTTATCATGAAGGGGTGTTGGATTTTGTCAAATGCCTTTACAGCATCTAGTGAGATCATCATGTAATTTTTGTTTTTCAGCTCTGTTTATATGGTGGATTACATTGATGGATTTTCATATGTTGAACCATCCCTGCATCTCTGGGATGAATCCTACTTGATTGTGGTGAATGATTTTTTTGATGTGTTCTTGGATCCAATTTGGCAGTATTTTATTGAGGAT